TGTAGAGTATTAACATGATATGGCTTAACGTCTTAAGATGACATGACATCTTAACATGACATGGCTTAAAACTAATTATTTTAAAAATCTGAGTTACAGTATTTCAGACTACTAAATTTTTCCAATCTTCAGTTTATTGCTGATAAGTAGAAACAAGTATTAGAAATAAGAAGTTATATCTGGCTATTGTCAGGTGAGATTATAATGATAAAAAGGCTGTATGTGATTAAATAAGAGTAGACTATTCAAAAATCTGATTTAAGAACTGGTAAGAAAAAAGTGTAAATGTTGACTAGTGACTGGTGAATGGGCTTGTGACAGTAAAATGAAAAAACAGCTTAGGAAAACAAAACTTGAGAGAATGCAAGACAGATGCAGAAACATGGTGAGAAGCACAGCTAACCTGTTTGATAATAAAAAAACATAAGAATACAGAAGGCTTTTAGAGTATTTGAACAAATTTAATTATCCATAGAACACAGTTGAAAGTACATAAGGTAGAACGTTGAACTAGAAAATATATTTCTTAAAGTTTGGATTTGATATTCTAACCACCAAAAGGATGTAATAAAAATGTATGGTCAGGTGCTATTGAGGCTGTTTGATCTAGAGCCGGGCGCCCAGGACCATGTCCAGACAGGTTTTGACTGTCTCCGAGGATGGAGACTCCACAACCTCTCCGGGCAACCTGTGCCAGTGCTCAGTCAAATGTGCCTTTTAGAGCAAATAATATGAAAAATAGAGTTAAAATGCATATTTTTTAACTGATATTAAAGAGATGAATGGCATTCATTTCAGTGTGTCCAATTTAGAAGTATTTAAATTTATTAGTAAAATCTTAGACTTTAGTTCCATGAGCAGTTAAGTAGCCTAAATGGGCCCTGCTGGTGTGGAAGGCAGTTCTACTCTGTTTGTCCCTGCCTGTTGAGTTTCCATTCCTTTCCTTATGCTGGCCTTATGACTACATGGTAAAATAGATTTAAAAAATTATCCAACTATAGGCTTACCTGGGGAAGGTGAGGAGGAATGAGGTTCATTTTCAGATGGCAGGAATGGGTGGACAGAATTAGGGGCTGTGTCTTCATGCTTCAGCAGCTTCAATTTATGGTGTATTAAACTACTCATGAAATCTTTATTTAGAAGAGAAAGAAGGAAAATAGGAAGCACAAAAAAGTCAAAGGGATAAACACACAGTTCAGGATGAGAAAAAAGGAAAACAAAGAACAAACATAAGAAATAAAAATGTTTCAGCTCATTGTTCTTGAAACCATTATATGGCAAACTTAAAATGTACCTGAAGTAAATACTTTTTTTAAATTTTGTAACTCTTTTTAATTTTGAAGTATTTCAGATGCTTGCTTTCATACTTGGTGACAGTCCAGGCTTTGACTCAGCATTGCAACAGAGGAATGTGGATTATCTATCATATATAAACCCAGGCATGGCTGTCTTTTAAAATAGGTGGCTCTAAACTCATGCAGGATTTGTCAGTTAAATGAAAATGTGTCACTGAAAAATAGCCAAAAACTTTCTAATCATAAAATGTACATTTTTATAGCATTATTTTAAGACTGTGTGAAATTAGAGAAATGGAATACTGAGGTGCATTAACTCTCCTTGAGTTTGATATTCACACCATTGACTTTCAGCAGAAGACTGTATAAGACTTTGAAAAATAGCCCACAACCAGGCAAACAAAAACAACTAGCATTAGAGCTGTTTCCTTTTAAAATTATTAACTCAGTTTAAATTAATGTCTCTCTGCATTTAATAAGCTGCCCAGGGGTTGCTGCAGCAAATATGGGCACATATTGCCATGCTCTTCTCATTCAGACATTCACTTACTCTTTTGTTAAGTATTTAATGAGTTCCTTACTGACATACGTAAAATAAGAACTTCATTAAAAATGGAGGGAAAAATACAGGTATTTTTAAGAGACATTAATAAGATACCTTCTTCTGGATCATGACTGCCTCTTTCTTTTATACCTTTATAAAACATGCTAGAATACAATTAGGTTTTGTTGTTTGATAGTTGTGATACAAATTGCAGGGGAGAAATTGATCTGTTATGGTGCCCTAAATATGTGCAATGCTGAACACTGTGCGATCAAGTACTCTTCACTACAAAAGACCAGTCAAAGAGTATAAAAGGAACAGGAGTTCTGGCAAAGCTGTAACAATGATTTTCTAGCCTGTAAGTCCCTGAGGGAAAACAGAGCGTAAATCTGAGAAAATTGTACCATACATGTATACATTGTAAACATGAAACCTTCAAAATCAGTTTAAAATATAAAGGGAATATCCAAAAGCAATAAAAAGGACAGATGCCTGCACTGACCAGGAAGCAAAGGGCACTGGGGAGTCCTGGTGCAGGACTTAATGCTGAGGTGGTCACAAACTCACTTGAAACAGAAGAAAACTGGAGTGTGTTCAGATACACTCCAGCAGTTGCACCCGACCATATCTTCAGTCACCTTTGAAATAAAAAGAAAGTTAGAAATGAGTCATACTTAACTGAATCTATAGTAGATTTTTATTTTGAAAATAGAAGTTAATTCTGCAATTTTCAAATAAAACAAACTAACTTTGAGTAAGTGAAAATAACAATGGATAATTACAGAACCCAAACTATCCTGCTGTGTGATGTCTTAGCTTTGAATGCTGAGGATCTATAAAGCAGGTGGCTGCATACAACTGCCAAACATCATCTTAACCTCATTAGTGGTCAGAAAAGCAAGTTGCAGATGGCAGCAAAAGAAAAGGCACGTAAGAACTAATAAAAAGAGTCCCCACGTATGTACCTTTACTTGCAAATAAAGCAATTTAGTGTAAATGTCTTAATATATGTAGAGATAAAAGATTGCTGCTGTGAATTAAGGTAGTTTTGAGTGGAGGCTCATTTCTGGGTAACACTAGTGAAAAACAGCTGCAAGCTTTCTTTCATTATGTGCACAAATGTAGTAGGAAAGATAATATTTATTATGAATTATAATTCCGTTTCGTTTAAATAGAGGATTGTTAGTTTCTGTCACACAGAGGACTCCTTTCTAGCTGGACTCCATTCTATTGCCATTTTTAACCTTTTTTTGTCTCTTCTCTTAGCAACTTGTTCCCTATTAAAGCCAGTTAATCTACTAAACCTGCTCTTCTTTGGATACGTTTAATGTGGCCCTTATTCCTCAACCCCATCATATATGCAGAAGGTGAATCTGGTCCCCTGTGATGTGGCCAGTTCAAAGTTACATATGTGCTAGTTTGGCTGCCTTCTGGCTGCCTCTCAGAATGGGTTGGAGCTGAGTTATAATTGCTTTTCCCTGAATGAGCCACAAATGTTGGTCTGGCTTTTCTACCCAACCACAACTTGTAATCGACATGTAGGAATTGTATAGCTTTGTCATCTCTACCTGTCAAGTTTGGCTTGAAATTGGCCAACGAGTCAAAGTTGGGGAGGTGATGTGGTGGAGAGGGTAAAGGAGCAGGAGTAAGATGATGGACCAGCAGTGCAATCATGTACATTAATAAATTTGACAAACCGGATGAAAGTCTCTGGTCTGTTCTGGTGGGCATTCCATTCTATGGAGCACTCTATCAATGTCGGGGAGAAGAAGCGCCGTGAAGACCTAGTTACCAAACTTCACTGGAGAATGCTGGTAGGGATTTTGTAAGGATGTAAGGAACAAACAGGAAAACATAAGGCAATATGTAATTGAAGTGTTTAGAATAGATGAGTTTCCTTCAATCCTTAACTACTTAATATGACACTAATTTTTTCAGTCAATTTCAAAGGAGGGAGGACGTAAAAAAAAAAAAAAGTACACAGATAGTGCCAGATTTCAGACTTCATTGCCTAGTTGGCCTTGATCTTTTACAGAAGATTTACCAGGAGGTGGCAAGAGGGATAGAAATGTAATCAGTTGGGCTATTACAGAGAAACAATGCGGCTAAGTACTTTCTTGGCAGTGTGTTGCTGTTTTTATCCATTCAGCAAATGTAATTTATTTATACATCTGTCAATAAATACAAGGCGGCATCCAATAATGAGTACAGCAGGGATTTGAGCTGGAGTGTATTGCTGTGTTTGACACAAAGGTCAACCTTGGGAAAGGGGCTTGAAATTAACATTTCTTGAAAACTATTTTTCCTTCCACTGAGGCGCTCTCTTAATTCCAGCAATTTTCTCTGTTTGATAAGCAGAGAGAGCATACATTTTGATTATATAAAGGAGGGAGGAGGTGATGAAACTTTAAAAAATTTCAACCGGCGTTGCATTCTGGTGATAAGAATGGGACTTTATGCAGCACGGAAGAGATTACCTGAAGTAGAATTGGGAAGCAAATGGTATTTACAAAAGATGGTGTGATTTTCCTAATAGGTGTTCAAAACAGGCTATTCACTCACATATTCTGGTAAGCTTGCCTAGAAATAACTTCATTTCAAAAAGGACAAATCTGATTGAAGGTAAAAGCATTCCCCTCTCACAGATACTTGTCTAAAGGATTTGCATTAAATTTTCTTGATGGGAGCACAGTAGTATTTTATTCTGCATCTGCATGAACTGGTAATGTGGAAAATAAAAATACAAATCGCGTCCTTGATTGCTTCATGCTCCAACCACTTGAATTACTAGATTTATGTCTGCAGTTATGGAAGAGATGTTGCAATATGATAATTTGACAATAACTGGCACAATTATATTACCAAAATATAGATTCAACTTATTCTTGAAGTTAAAGAGTATTGATATTATGTTTTAAGGACCAGGCGTATCTTCCTGTGGTTTTAGCTTGTTTTTAATGTTGCCAGGGTACTTTTAAAGAACTATAGCATGTCTAAATGTTGTCAGTTATAAGTAGGATATACACGTCAACGATGTCATGTGCTGCAAATTTCCATGAGTTATTATACAAGGCTGTTGTGAAATACCTTGTCATGGTAAGTATCAACAAGATGTACGTCTGCTGCTTCTGAATCTGTTATGTTTTTCTCCCTCTGTATAGATCCTGGAATTGGTGAAGGGCATGCATTACCAGCTGGCCTGTCAAAAGTACTTTGAGTTGACACATGATGTAAGTACTGTACTTACTAATATTTGTTATACTATAATCTAATTTTTGTTACACTATAATCATCATCTTTGTCTTGAGGAAGGCCTTGGAAATCATGCACGAAGTCCAGAGACTATTTGCAGTTTTCACATCCATCATTAGCTGTCTTGCCTTGTTAGTTTTCATTTCAATAATTTCAAATATTTTTTGTAATTTTCTGCATTTATATATTGATTTTATTCATACCCTGAACATTACAAGATATAGGAAAAAGGTTATGCTTTCTTCCTGAAAATGTCAATATTGTTGAATTTTGTCTATTTCAATCCATTTAACTTTTTCAATCTCCCGTTTTTAAACAAATTGTCGTTTTTTAACCCATTATGCAAGTTTGGTATTTTGAGATATATCTTAAAAGAATAAACAAAAAGTTTAACTAAAACTCTAATCTTCCTGTACTTACATAGTTAATATTGTTAATTTTCACTTGATATTTTTTCATGTCTTTGGTCATGTGTGATCAGTTTTTAAATCAAGATGAACATCTCAGAGCTTTCCCATTTTCTTAATCGTAAGCTTCTGTGATGTATTAAAGTAAGATCCTCCACAAAATTGTAAGACAGTGAATGGCTGCAGTCCATCTCCTATGTGATTTCTTGATTCAAGAACCAGTTTTCGCATTGGTTCTAGATTCTTTGTTGTCAAGAAAAAACAGTGGAGCGTGGCCCATTTTATACCTTTGCTCTCTCCACAACTCAAAAAAATCAAAACACCCCTTTCAAACATAAGAATATGGAACAGCCTTGCTAAAGATATGGATGAGGATTAAATGACCCACTCAGAGACATTTGCCATTGACTTTTTTGTTCTCACTGGTTTTCACATTTGATTTAAATGGAAGTGTTTGTCTCCCTAAATTTCCAGCAATCATATGTGTGAATGTATAGTAAAGGTATACTCTTAACCCGTATCCAGTGTTGTTTTGGCAGCTGTAATTTGAGAGGAACACTTTGTCTTACAGTCTTAGAAAACGATAAAACAGGAAATTCAAATTTATATATAATTTGAAATTTAGATAACACATGCCCTGTGTAAGGCTAAGTCAGTAGAAATACTATTTTCCCAAGATGACTGTAGACCCCAAGGTCAACATTCACCAAAGGCTAAATCAGCACAGCGCCGAAGATCTGTTGCGTTTTAGGAAAGCTGTCTTTCCATTCTTCTGTGGCAAATTCCAGAAAAGCATTATTTTATTCAGTCTTTTCGTAATATAAATATCTGTCTTTGCTGCTTGCACTAAGAGTCATCTTTCTGCTTTGCTGTTGATAAGTGTCTTACTTCAGTGAGAGAAAGCAGAATGCACAGAAAGGCACTTTCTGTAGTTTGAACGAAACATGCTTATGAGGGCAATTTGTTTAGAGAATTTAGCTGCTAAACTTGTTACCAGCCTGCTCAGAATGATTTTTCTGTCCTACAGCTATATGCTTTAGTAATATTTTCTTTCTTTCCCATGGGGTGGTCAAAAGATGCGTCTCTGAAGCTGGTGACACCTAATCAGAAAATCAAACCCTTGCTTTCCTGTATATCACTAGCAGAGCTTTTCAGTGAAGGAAATTTCTGAAGAATCAATCAGCGCAACATTAATTGTTATTGTTTCTTCAAATAGGTGAACAATCTTAAGTAAAATTTTCCTAGAAATAATGGACTGGCTCACATGGAGAATTTCAGCTTCAATTATGTAAAAATTTTACTGAGAAGGTGTTTGATATATGTTGGGCAGAGCTGGTAGTGTTACCTATAATTCTTGAAAGTTACAGTGCATATGTGGGTTAGATCTACTATGAATGACTTTGTAGTGGAGACTTGTTTATGATATTTTTCTAAGTTCACAGGGTCAATTGCACACTATGTCTACTTAAGGATTCTCTTTGCATTTCCTCCCCACCATCCTCTCTCAAGTTTCTACTGCATCTTACACTCATGCTGGCAGCAGCTTTGCTGTTGGCTTCAGTAGTCTAGCACTTGGCACTAAGACTATGCTAATAAATTCAGCTGGACTAGAGTGAGAATGTTTAGAACTATTTTTGTTGGGGGGGAAGGTGTCTTTGCACCTCAGTGCTGCTGGTTCAAATAGAAGAGGTTACCTAAAAGCTGCTTCTCTGCATATTCTGGGTAAACTGGGCTTATTAACTTTAATGCTACATCTCTCCTGAACTTTTGTTTCACTATCTCACAACCACAGAACAAAAGTAACCATCATTTGTGTGGTCCAGCACATTGTCTTCAGGCAAAACCAAACGTGTTAAGGAAATGTACGTGTATGCAATTTGTTAAGTCTTTCAATAAGTGTGGGAAAGGAAAGCGCAACCTATAGTGCATGAATGGTTTTACCATATTTTTCAAGTTCTGGGATATCAGGGCATACTCCTTTTTGGGAAAGTTATTTTCTAAATAATAAAACCATAATTTGATCAAGATGAGTTGTCCTATATATGTGAAGAAAAGAAGGTCTTTTGACTTGATAGAAGTATGACTGAATGGCCTGTAGGGTAGATATTTTCAAACATTATCATATTTTAATAAGAATCAAGAATAAACTATGTTTATGTGGTAACTAGAGTAAGCATTTAATCAAACACCACCAAAATACTTAAGTATCTTTCTTGCTGGTCAAATTTGGATTTTAAGCCCTATGGAAAGCATCATAACTGTTTGAAGTTCTAATATTTGTACTTGAGTTCATAATAAGCTATTTCATGTTGATTATCCCTCTTAGATAAGTTTTTATTTTGTACTCAAGTGAGGACACAAGGCAACTTACGTAAAGTGGAAATGACATACCCTGAAAATGTAAGCAGTGTAACCATAACCCAAAGTAAATAGTCACAGCACTGAGGAATGACTTTCATGGTCACAATAGCATCAAGATTTTATTTTATTTTAGTTGATAGAATTGGATGACAACTCAAAATAGAGAAAAATATTTCCAGACCAACAGTTTGGAGATCTTGGCTACGTGTATGCAGTCAAGTCAAAGAGATTAGTGATATCAGCTATGAACTACTAGTAAGTTAAATAAATGTTCTTGTGACAGCTTGCCTGTAGAAATAATTAGTGCTTTGAAATCTGATTGTGTATAAATCCACTGTATAAATCTACTGTTTTAAGAGCCTGAGCATTATGAATAAATAAGAAAGCCTAACTGGCTAATGCCTGTGTTAGTAAATTATATTCCAAAGGAACTAATGATGTTAATGTTGTTTGCATGAATATTGCTGTATTAGTTACTTGTTGCACTTACAGCTGTAGCGGCTGGTTATTTATAGATTAATATTTATCTCTAAACATTTTATTCTTGCGTACTGATATTTTACAATCCTTGTGTATTTTTAAGAAGTAAATGAAATCTGACACATAGCAAACTTTCTGGTACAGAAGAATCTCTGATGTGGTTAATTGATATCATTTACTGTAGCACCATGATTGCTCCACATATTTTTTCTGTACTATCAGCTGTAGCATTATCACCTGTCATTTTAAAAGTTCTTGGTTAAAATCCAAAGATACTATAGCTACAAAATGATTGCTTCAGGTTTTTCAGAACAATATTTGCTGTAGCAGAAATACAAAACCAGAGTTTGTATGAAGGCCAGTATGTGCAAAATGTGTTGAATCCAAAAAAAGTCTTGTGTTTGTATCATCTACTAGATGGAATAAACAGTTCTGTCAGAAGTGACAGGCCTTTTCACTCAGATCAATACATGTTACAGGCTTAAATTTTTGACTGCACAGAAAATACATTTTTCTTTGGGCATAGTGGATTCCACGTGGATTTACAGGTGTGAATGGATAAAGCTGTTAGAGAAATCTAGTTTCTCTATTTCTGGTAGTATGTTTTGGGTAACTTACAGCTAGGTTAATGATGCAGCTTTTAAAATTGGTATGCTTTGATCTCTATTACCTAAAAGCATTGTAAAACTTACATAAAGTAACATGAGCAGTCTAACATAAAAAAGACAGGAAATTTCTGTATGCTTCACCTCCATTTTTGTGGTCAAATTTCTTGTGTATTTCCAGCCAGAGTGGGTAACTTACAGCTAGGTTAATGATGCAGCTTTTAAAATTGGTATGCTTTGATCTCTATTACCTAAAAGCATTGTAAAACTTACATAAAGTAACATGAGCAGTCTAACATAAAAAAGACAGGAAATTTCTGTATGCTTCACCTCCATTTTTGTGGTCAAATTTCTTGTGTATTTCCAGCCAGAGCAGAATATTTTTATTCAGAGAAGTTTGTTGAAAATTACACAGAACAGAATTGTTTATGTGTCCCTATATCACAAATGAAGATGACGATGAACAAAACTTCCCCTTTCTCTCTTCAGGCTCTCAAAAAAAGGTGATAAAAAGAATGGGCAGAATTCTTGTAATTAAAATAGGGTACATGGAGTCAAACTACAATTTTAACTAACAACCTGTAAATAGCTTTTAGCCAGATACTGTCAATTGCCTCTGAAAACGTGCTCGATTCATACAATGAGCTGCTTCTACAGCTTATTCCAGTTTGTTGGGGAGAGAAGAGTTTAGAACAAAATTAAGAGTTACAAAGTGAATCTTAAATCAGTCTGAAGAAAAAAGAGATTTTAAGGTTAAGAAAAATAGAACTAATTACGAGCTGCTTCTAGGAAAGCCAGCTTTTCACTGTATTGCTTCTTTTTAAGCCTTTTTGGTGTAAAGAATTAATTTAGTTCCCACATAATGGAAATTGGTGCATGGATAAAAGCTGGCTGGATGAAACTCATCCAGATAAGACTGAAATGAAATTCAGTGGTGGCTTCAGGTTTCTTTTTTTTTTGCTTTGCGCCTTTTATTTTGAGTGCCAAATTGGTGTGCTAGGCCTATCACTTATTTTTTAGATTTTTCAAGCAAGTTCGCTTACTACAGTTGCTAATGTCATCTTTGTGCCTGAATTAGATTTTGTTATACATGTCGCCATTTTCTGGTGGAGCTAAGCTAGGCAGTGGTAAGGCATTGAATCAGGGTTCCATTTAAACCGCACATTGATTCTCTGCTTTATGATTTTTCACAAGTGGCTGAAATTTAAACTGATGGTTTTTGACATATTAAATCAGCCATAGTATATGTCCTCATGAGACGCTGCATGTGTGCAAAGTTGCCTGTTACGCTTGAATTGGCCCCATCCCTCTGGGAAAAAGGGAAGATAGCGGGAGCAGAAAATTACCAGTATATGGCTCTTAGTCTTCCTTGGTTTATTCTATTCCAGGTTTGGGAAGTTTCCTAACATTATTTAAGAGCAGTATTTTTCTCAAAATGTCCTTGGTATTCGCATGAACTGACAGACAGGTAAAAGGCGCAGATTGCCTGAATATGAGGTGGAAGCACCTTTTACAGTAAGCATTTCCAACTTCTGAGCCCCTAAAAAGAGATACAAAGGTTATAACTGAGATTTGCGGTGAGTATGTCAGAATAGCTTACTTTTAAAACTGAAAGCTTTGTTGATTTGAAATATTTGATTAGCACCAGTTGAATGTTCATTTATCAAATAATTACAGAGCTGAAAGAATGCGCCTGCTAAGTAGAAAGGAGCAATAAAAATATGCTGCACCTTATGCCAGTTTTCGGTATTCTTCTCCACAGAAGACTAAATGTTCTTTGGTATTGGTTGTGCATCTAGTTTCAGGATGCTGATGTTGGCACTAGTGGAGCAGAGACAAGCTTGATCTATTGGGCTTCTGTCTTAGCCTGCTGCCTTGTAAATATTGCATTTGTGGCTGCTGGAGAAAACAGGGAAAGAGGTGAAGCTAGCTGTTTCCATTCACAGTTTCACACTGATACATAAGATCTAGATTTATATTGTGCAGTTGTTACAACTTTTGGTAGTATTCTCTACTGCCATTTGCACTCTAGACTTGTCTCAGTCCCTCTCTTGGGTAGCGAAATGCTGTTTTAAGGTGTAGGTTCAATTGTGTTCTACATCTCTAAAGGTATGCCATTTTAGTTATATTGTTTTATATGTTTTGGGGAGGTTTTTTTCTTTACTACAGCAAAGACAGTGTGAAATACTGTTTGAATATGCCAAAGCAGTTGTTTTATTTCTAACATGAAGGAAGAAATTTTGTGATGAAAGAAATCTGTGTCTTGCTAATATGTACAGGGATAGTATTTGCAAACTGATGCCTTTTTCTTCAACAAAATCGGAACTTATTAAATTGCTAATTAATTTGTTCTTGAATGTGAAAAAGAGGACTTTTTGAAATCAGTATAATAACTCACTGTTCCTTTCCTTTTATGTGCAGGTTGATAACCTTGGGTTTTCTTTGAATCATCCTAATCAGTATTTTACAGAGAGTCAAAGGCTATTAAGTGGTGGTAGAGAACTGAAGAAGGAACTAAGTAATTCAGGAAACTCTCAACAAAAAAGTAATAGCCAGGAAAGCATGAACTCAAATTCTACTCCCACCTCTTCAAATACAACAGCTGATGCAGAACTGGAGGGACTGGAGGCATACTTCACTGAAGACTAAGCAGCTGTGTTATTTGGCTTTTTTTTTGTTTTGTTTTTGGTTTGGTTTTTTTCTTCCTTAATTCTTTCCCTTCTCTAGCTGAATTTGTCCCTGTACTAAGGAATATGCACTTCACTACCTGGAATACACAGGCGTTTAGTGCTTTGAATAGGCTGAAGAAAAGAAAGATAGATACTGAAGCTATAATTGCATCCAGTACTTATTCTCGCTGCTTTAGGATACTGTTTTACACAGCATGTTGAAGGATGGGAAATGAAAGTTCCTTCCCAAATACTAGGTGATTTTTGTCTGACTGACTTCTTTTGTTTTTCTTCAAAATGTTTAAGTATTTTTATCCCATTTTGTGGTCACTTTTATATGTTTCTTCTTAATAAATAAATTGCAAAGCAAAAGTTTGTGGTATTTTCTTTTAGCTGTATTTGGATGGTAATTAAGTAGGAGTTCTTATGATCAAAATTACCCTCTGGAGGAGTCTGTCTCTTTCCTACATGAGGAGCTGAGGGAAATCAGCTTCCTAATTTGTGTACCTTGACACTAAATTTAGAGAGCTGGTTTTGGTGCTTGAAATAGAACATATGCAGAGTTCAGATACCTGTATATAAGAAGGTAATCCAAAAAGCTGATGCTCTACCAACTGGCTCATCTTGAAGAAGCTAAAAACTTATTAGCATATATTCCTTTTCAGTTTTAAAGTTTCCTCAATGTCTGAGCGTGGCTGGAGCCTCCTGTGTCCTGCTAAGCTAAACAGCCATCTGAATGCAGCTTTGGGTCACCTAAATTCCACCCATTCACCCAAAGCTCAAGTCACCTAACACACGAACGGCATTCAGTCGAGCAGCTGCCACTGTGCGGTGGGTGGAAGCTCGAAGTAGAGCTGGTATTTTATATCATGCTGTTAGAGTATTCTCCCAGTTTTATTTTCTCTACAATAATTGACTGATTTAGGCTATTAATATTGTAACTGGACTAAAGACTATTTGATTACTGTTAATATTTGGACTAACCATAAATCAGTGGCTTCTCATGTGTAGAGTGTACCTTTAAGGGTACATAACTTGCACAGGGCTAGTGCAACACCAGTCTTTAAAAATAAAATATATCATTTGTTGTTAGAAGAGGATCTGCCAGGATTCACCGTTCCTTTTTTCTTCCTTTAATTATTCCTTAATTTATTTAGGGACTGCTTTGTGTAAACTACCAAACTCCTTACTCCTTTGGATATCATATATTCAGAAATTCGTCCTGAACAAAGGCTCTCACCTGGATCCTGCAGGGTGGTGGTTGTTCTGGGCCCAAGAAGGAAGGCGTTATGAACTCCTGTGGGCTTGGTTTCTCCTGTTGGTTAAGCTCCTGGCAGCACCACACCTCGTGTGTGGAAGTCCATTGATTGTATTAGATAGTTAAGAAACTTGGTCTTAGGGTTTTGAAGTGTCCTTGCAAGTGGTAGCTGTCCTCTAATTTGGAGATGCCTTAATGGACATCATGGGTCCTTTTAATAGAAGTGAAACTGTTTCAGACCTGCAGTGAGATTTGTGTTCCTAAGTGAAACAGCCGGGAGAAGAATGAGTTGGTCGACGCACTGAATGCAGGTGGTGTTTCCCAGCCAAAGCCCACAAATTGTAATTTATGATTCAGTAGAAACATTTCTGTTATGGCCTAACCCTACTCATGTAGACGTTGTCACTTGCTGTGTGAATAAAGCCCCTAGTGCTTCATTTCTGAGCTTTAGTTGTACTTTGAAAGCTGTCATGTTGGGAATGGCTGCTTGTTTATGTATTCTGCAGTGGATTCCTACACTGGCAGAATAAAGTTACTTTTAGAAATTCAAGCATAAAATTTAAAATTAAGTCTCTGTTACAAGAAAGAGAATATAACCGCACAAATCCTCTGGATGAAAAATACTAACCTGAAATGCAACAAACATAACAACATGTGACAAAGCCTTTGTCGATTCATTGGTTTACTTCATTATTGTGAGTTTACCTCTCTTGATTAATAGTACTACAAATTGCTTTGAACTCTATTTTCTTTCCTTTTATTATCTGTCAGGTGGACTATAATAAAATATATAACAGAAAAGCATACAAATTGTGGCATACAGTTACAAGTAACTAGCAAGGGATTGAAATTAATGCTTTTGTTGCTATTTGAAGAAAATGGCAATTTATTTTCATATTTCACACATTTTGACCATTTTGATTTTTCTTTGAAAGCAGAATATTTTGAATTTGATAGTGTAGAAAAATCAAAAATGAGAATCCTCCTTTTGAGCAGTTGGACAACAACGAATTTTTTGTCTTCCAGAGTTTTAAACTCTTACTGCCTTGTAATTTCAATGAGAATCACTTCTTCCTTGATTATGGAGCTGTTTGAGATTGGAAAGGCAAAATCACTAAGAATATGTAAAACATTCATTTGAAAACATTTCCTGCATTGTAGTAGTGCTATTAAAAAATTGTATTTAGTCAGAAGATAAGGATTCTGAAAACCAAGTGACCCTGATTATGATTATGCAGTAGTCAGAAATAACAACAACAACAAAAAAAACAAAATCCCAAACCCTACTCTTTTACAAGTTGAAAAGAAAATGTATTTTTACTGCAAAGCATTGCAGATGGATCTGTTTGCAAACATCAGCTCTCCTTCTAAGTGTCTCTTTAAAGTAAACTTTTGTGATATTTTGCAACTGGAAAAAAAATGGGAGACACAAGCATCTAAAGTTTGAAACTGTTCTGGACAAGACACTTCTGTATTTGGGGTCAGTAAACAAGATATTAAGTTAATATTTGGTTGCATTTCTGAGGGGATGCACACACCTGTGCCTGTTGCCAAAAGACAGCACTGCACAGCCATGGTGTTCATGTAGGAAGGACTGTTGTTTACAACATCTGATCTTACATGTACCACAGTTAAATTTAGAGGAGGATGTTTCAAAAGGGACGCCAATCCATAGCTTGTAATCTTTTGAAGTGCTAGCATCAAAGACAATAAAACAGTCTCTGACTTCAAAGCCTTTCAAGATCTAATGAAGAAGAGAACTTTACGGTTGGGCGTTCTGCAGAAGGAAGGGTGAGGAGCTCACAAGTTGTGTGTGACTTACAAAGTGCTCCGCTGAAAAGTGGCAAGGAGAATGGCGAGAGCAGCCAGTACCATGGCACGATAGGAGCGGGTCCATGCAGCAGAACAGGTGATGCTGAGTGCGTGGCGTTCCTTCTGGGAATGCTCTAGGAGTTTTACTTTGGACTAGTTTTAGTCTTACAGTATGGCTGGAGCGGTTATTAGCAGATAGAGGAGCATTGCGGAGTGTGCCTTTTGGGTGAATTTCTTCCAAAAGGATTCCAGTTTGCACGCTCTCAGACCAGTCGGCAGCGCGAGCCAAAGCAGAGTAAGTGGGGATGGCTGAGAGATTCCCTTGCAGGTGGTGAATCAGTCTCAAGCCCATGTAATTGAAAGACGCATGGTAGCAAGAATACATTCGGAGGATGAGACAGGGCAACGTCTTCGTGATGCAGGTGCTCACTCTGTGGTGCTGTTATTTTCACATGGTTGTGAAATGTGAAGTGGAAGTTTAATATGTCAAAGATTTTACTATTTGAAAGACCTGTTTTCCCCACAAATATGATAATATGCTAAACACAATAAAAGGATTCCAGAAACACAGGGTTACCTCCCTGGGTTTTTTTTTTACTGTAACTAAGGAAGGAGAACACTTAAAACTGTGCACCTAGGGCAAGAATTTTTTAGTTTTACTTAGACATGTTGGCCTGTCAAGGACATTTATGTAACCTGGGTTGCTATCATCTTCTGGCTTCCCAGCCCAGATTTTTTGCAAGGATGTAAAGCTTAAAGAGTTCATTTACACTTTTTGTTTCTTCCCTACATGTACCTAAACCATTAGGGCAGGGCAGACGTAATCCAGAGCTTTTGGGCAAGCTTATCCCAATACGATATATTGGGATATACAATATCCCAAAACAAGCTTTCCTTGTTTTCCAAAGTGCATATCAGAAACATCTAATGAATTACAGCTGGACAGATGTAGTCAAGGTCTCAATATGAGTGGTTCTTTTGGGTAGATCTCACATCATGATACTTAAGATTGATTTTTTTTTTTTTTTTTAAGCGTATATAGCAGATTCTAAAATCTCTCTCTATTTCAGGTGTCTTAAAAATCCACAAAAGAATCACATTGTCCTTTTAGGTCATTGTACGGGTGCTGGGTGTTTTTTGTTTCCTCTTTTTACTACGCTGTAGGTCTGCTGAATAACTGGCATCTTTTAACTAATCTCGGCTGTTCACAGTCTCAATTCACCATCCTGTGTATTCCTCCTTATCTACTACATAACAGATTTTACTGATGATGGTTTTTAGAACTTGTATGAAGTCCCCTACATTCACATTAGCAGAGTAACCCATCCTTGCTGCTGTGCTTGCTAATCACTGCCTTTCACATTTTGTTTTCCCTTCTACGTTTGTTACTCCAGCAGTTGGTACAAAATGTTATCATCCTTCACTGGCCCGTCTGAATCAGAAGCCTAGTTCATGTCAGCGGATCCCTGATTTTAACAGATCCTTTTGAGGCTATAAACCTTTCTTTCCACTTTGATCTGTACTCTTAATACCGTTACCAAAAGTACTTCATCTCAACATCAAAACTTCTACCTTTGGTATGTAATTCCCAAAAAGAAAAATACTTTTGCACCTTAGCTCACTTATTTGCTAAGGTTTGTTTAAATCCCTCAAATGCTGAAGGATCTAAGGCATTTGAGTTGGACAAAGGTAATGATCAACGGGTGCAATTCAATCCCCCAAGGAACCTGAAGCATTTATGTAGGTAAATTGATTGGAAAACAGGTATAAAAGTCGTTGGAATAATGTCAAGAGTGAATTGTAGCTGGGAAATATATAGGAATAGATACCTAAATACTAACTCGTTAACAGAGGAAGCACTGGAAGACTTCAGAAGTGGGTTTAGGGTAGGTGAAAAATAGATCAATAGCTGGAGATGGGAAGGTGATATTGACGTAGATCTGTCGAGGGAGAGCAGGACTTGGTGATGAGGCTGCAAACAGCAGGAAGGTGTATGAACTCTCAGTATCTCTTATAACTAAAACGATAACCACAATGAAAGCGTCACAAGATGCTGTGTTTCTAGCTGAAATGAAAGTTCTCAGCCAAGTTGAAGATGTTTTGTCATACCATAAACCTTAAGATGGCTCATGAACATGGGATAATGAAAAGGACATTAGTATAGCAGAAGCAGATATGGCATAACCTTAATATTTATTTTTTAGAAGAACATTATGTTCTACTCAGGATCAGAGTTGTGTCAAGGGAGGTGTTACGCAAACAGAAAGTCTCTGCC